ATCCACTTAGCCAGATTTTTGAGGCTATCAAGCACAAGGGCCTCCTCGCGGAACCTCTGGACTCCAAGGCCACAATGGGGAAAGACGTGACCTCTTACTTCAAATACCATCGGAGGACGGGCCACCATACGGATAACTGCCATCAACTCAAAATGGCGATAGACGAGCTGATCCGATAAGGATACCTCAGAGAATTTACAAAGAGCTCGTCGCAACACAACCAGAAAGAGCCATACAAGAAGCCGGGTACATGGCGCCTCGATGACCGGCGAGAGGCCGAACCTGAGGACGTTGATTATTGTAGTGCAGATAAATGTCCGGAGGGGTCCCTCGGACCGAACGGCACCCTCCTGAACCACCGTCGTTCCAGAAAGATGACATCATATGGAGTGCTTTCTTTCTGGTGGCGGGTGAAACCGGAACAAATTCTACGCTCGCGCGGCTCCTTACCGATGGCTGGGCAAACCGGGATGTTCAATAATTTGTTTGAGAAATATTGTGATTGTAGCAAGAGAAGTCAGTCTGCAGGTAAAGTCTACTTCTTTGAGGGATGAGCGATTCAGTGTTTTCAATTTGAATCTTCTGTTTCTATGTCATATCCCATTATAGTCTTGAGCTATATGATTGTAATTGTCTTTGTTATCTTTTGTTATCTTTATCAATACTAATTAAGTTATTTTCTTTCAAAAAAAATTAACTAATGAATTATTGTTTGAACTAATGATCCGTTGCGGGGAACGATTAGAAATATGAGGCATTGTGACGCCCCAAGTTCAAATCCATAGGCTCATTAAAACAAAATGCGATAGTTGAGAAATTCACATCTCATTTGAATTTGAAGTAGAGTACGAGTAATTATAAATTTATAACATTACACAAGCATTCAAGTTTTGAAAACTGACTTTGAGAATTGATATGGATGGTGTTACCGAGTCTTGCAATTTTAGTCGTTTGAGTTTCGATATTTCACTTTCGGCATACAATAATATCGGTTTTGGTCTCATAAAGTTTTTGACACCATCGGCGCCTTTCTGATAGTCTTTTGGCAGAAAGTGTACTTTCAACTGAGAATATTTTTTAAAATAGATAGATTTATAACGTTACACCCTTAGTTCCATGACCAAATTTGTCAGTCATTAGACTCATTAAAGTTAAATGACTAATAACGATAAAAGTTAATAGACTAAAGTTGCGAAGGGGCAATTCCCATAATAAGAGTAAAAACATCTTGAAATTTCAAAATAGGAACACTACATTCTCATTCTCTAAATCAGAATCATTACTGTCAAACTTGGAAAATTTTACGCCAAAATGTCCAATAATAATTTCTATTTTAGGACAATTTTTTAATTGCAAATCTCCACAACATCATTCATTTTAGTGCTGGACTCGGCCCGGGCGGCCCGACCCGGAACCGGCCCGGCCCGGCCACTGTAGCAACCGGTCCACCGGCGGTTCGGGTCGAACCGGCCCGGTGGTTCCCGGTTCCGTGCCCGGACCTTCCATATGGTGAACCGGCCCGGCCGGTTCGGGCCCGGTCCGGGCCAGATTTTAATTTTTTTTTTTTGAAAAATTTTTTAAGTCTTGGGTTGGAATAGGTATTTTGGGCCATTTGAGGTGGTTTGGGGTGGTTTGAGGTTGAGGGGGAGGGGTAGGGGATTAAATAGGAGAACCCAAAAAAAAAAAAGTGGACCGGTTTGGCCCGGAACCGGAACCGGCCACCGGCGGTTCGGGCTCGGGCCTCCCCTTTCCTGGCCCGAGGCCCGGCCGGGCCCAGGCCCGAACCGGGCCCGAACCGGCCCGAGTCCAGCACTAATTCATCTTAAAGTAAACTTTTCACTTTGACAAGCGTTTTTACTTCTAGCACTTCTAGTATTAGTTTTTGTACTCCGTAATTTTTAATGATAATCTATTAAATATTATAAAAAATGATAATCTATTAAATATATATATTAACCACCAAGCTCTCAAAATTGAACGTTTATAAAGTCGTAGCTAGTCAAAGTGCTACAACTCAATAACAAGGAAAATATTACCCTACATATTAGAAAAGAATAAAAAATTATAAACGTACATTTTGTCAGTTATTTGGGTGCAGTTAGAAGAACTGGTGTTCTTTCCCTCAAGATTTAGCCAAGTAATAACGTTAAAATACGGGATTATAAAAATAATTAGTCAGTGTATAGAGTATAACATGGCAGAAAAACAGGAAAAAGATGTTGCTTTCACACGGGCAAGGGAGTAGCTATTTTGGTATTTTCTCTCAAATCAAACGAATTGCATGGGCTCCCTAATTTCTGTGTGCTTATATGGAAAGGGGAAAAGTGGTAGTCTGACCCATGAATTGCATGTGCCCTACACCATTTACATGCATACAAAAAAAAATGATCTGTGTCTATTTGGAATGATCGGGGAATTGGATATTAGGGTACCCCACACACACCTTAAGCACCACCCCGGCCCCACTTTAGTTTCATGTGAAGTCACACAGTGGGCCCCTCAGACCCCCACTAGTCTCGTTCTTGCAAGTATGTTGACCGTTTTACCTTGGAAAAATATGTTGCTTACTCAGAATTTGAACTAATATTGAATTTTGCATGATATTTCATATCCAAACTCCAAAGCAAATTTGCAATAAACTTAGAGCCTGTTTGGCAATTCTTTCAATTGATCAACTTTATTATCCACCTTTTTCATCAAATACAAAACTTTTGATTTCGAGGTAAATTATTATATAATCAAAACAAGTAAGGTAAAAATTACTTTTCTGACTGAGTTGACTTAAATTAATGTAGATGACACTTTTAACTATTTTTCTTGTATTTTTTCTGTATTTTTTTTAAAATATATTTTAGATATCGTTTTTTATAATTAAGCCAATTCAACAGCTTCTTTCAGAATTTCATCAACTTCAGCAGAATCAGTTGTTTTAACCAGAACTTCATCAATTTTAGTGTTATGCCTTTATTGGTTTGGTTGAGAAAGAACATGACACTTGAATAGATACCTTAATATATTTAGCTATACATTATTATACAAAAAGGGCGGAATTGGCATCAATAATATTTACATTTACATATTTTATAAGAATAATCCCTACTAGAAAAGTTCACAACAGTAATCTCAACTAGTTAACTGTTTGATTAAAATATACCGGAGGTTGACGGTGTCAACTTTCCCGTTTGGCCAAATTGACGCCAATAATCTCTACTATTACGTATTTTACAAAAATAATCACTCCCAAAAAAGTTCACAATAATAACTCAAACTAATTAATTAAGTGTTTCACAAAAATAAATAAGGAGCTAACAATGTTAACTTTTGAGTTTATTTTTTTAAATTTTTTAAAGATAATGAAGTAATAGGATTAACAATATTTTATTTGAGTTTAATCTTATTTTTACCAAAAAATTAATTTAGTATTCACTATTTTTCATAAACAAATTATTTTTTTTGTATCAATTTCGCCAAAAGGTAATGAACAATACAACTATACGTACAAGCACAATATATGCCATTTTAAAGCGGGGTGATACTATCATAAAAAAAAAGCGGGGTGATACTCCGTACAAAAGATGACTTTCCATTTTTCCAAAGTATTAACAAATTAAATTTTCTTGCCCAAAAAAAGTTAAATTTATACTACCTCCGTCCCACTAAGATTGGGACGAGAGAAGGTGACACGATTATTAAGAAAAGTGAGTTTGTGTGGTTGATATTAAATTGATAAAGTAAGAATAAAGTAAGAATGATTTAGAGCTACACAATCTTTACCAAATTTGGTATGAGACAATCTTAGTGGGACTTCCCTAGACGATAAAATGAGACAATCTTAGCGGGACGGAGGGAGTACTTGTTTTGATATCAAACTAGTAAAGGTAACATTATAATAAAAATAAGGAAAAATTGATAGTAATAATCCTAACTATTGGCGGTCCGCTTATAATAATTCCAACTAGCGATTGTTTCAGAATATTCCCAACTTTAGGGACCTTTCGTCAATAATGATCCCTATAAATAAATTCTTATAGTTTCTAAAATGAATGAGAAGAGATATAACAAGTAATCCCTATAAATAATCTGAATTTTTAATTTTTGCACTTAATTTCTATTTTAAATTCACTTGTTATAGGATGTAATATCTGGTCATGGACCATTATTGGGGGACGGTCCATATAGTTGGGACTGCACAAAAATAATCAATAGTTGAGATTATTATCAGTAATCGACAATAGTTGAGATTATTATTTTCGATTTTTCCTAAAATAACCGTGGATGGTGATTCGACTTTTTTGTATTCACGGCCTGCGTAAATACGAAAAGTAACCTCCTTTTCACATATTTTAAACATTATAGGAGTAGTATTATACTCCTTATTTTTATCTGCGTACCTAAACATTTCACTTTGGAAGATATCCCTTTTCTTCTACTCACTTTTAACTAGAACTTTCAAAAGACAGTAAAATTTCCCCATTAACCATGCGTGAATCGAACGTTTTTTATGTGAAACCTTATTTTTAGTGTGAAAACTGAAAACAACATATTTATCCTGCCCCACGAATTTACTGGGTTGGTTTGATGAACTCACACCATCTTTTTACCGCTGCCTTTTACTGCCGATTCTGTTAAAAACCAACGCACTTTAGAGTTTAGAGCACAGTAAATAAATATTGACCTGACTTTTCAAGCGGCCAATTTGGTACGTCCAGTCACAAAATTCTTTACCCACCCCTACCATCGCCATCCTTCCTAAAATTCCTTTCTTTTACAGATGTATGTACTATGTACTGTGTACACGCATTCTTCAATTATACGGAGTATATAATTTAATTTAATTTAATTTAAATACATTATTGTACAATTATTACTCGTTTTCTGGTTCTGATTAACAGCCACAATTAGGCAATTACCGATATGGAAAGCACCTTAATTAACTTTAATGGTGTAACCAGCAGCGTAATTAGTACCGCTATTTATTTCTAGCTTTTCGAATTTACCCCTAAATTCTCGATCTGGGAAATCAGTCTCTCCTTCATTTCTCATTTTCTTCTCTCCTCTCAGCCGACTCACCGTATCTTTTCCTCCTGTTCTCCACCGCTTTCTCTCATCTGCTTACGTTTTGTATCTTCTCGTTTTCATCGCTTTCGCTACTGCGGTGGCGGCGAGTTTGATCTTACAACTGGACTCCGGTGTACCGCTGGAGTTTTCGGTGGTACTTCTGAGCGGAGGATTTTGTAATCTATGAAGTTTGGGTGGAGTAGGGTTTGGATGTGATCAAGATTCGAGATAGGATTATCTCTGTGTAAATGCTCGTTGGAGGGGATCTAGGTTTTCTCTCGCGCTTTGTGGTGGCGGCGTTGCTGGTGGTTGCGGGACCAGTGTTGGGTTTTGTGTTTAGATGGAAGTGGCGTCGTGCGGTGGCTAGGAGGGAGGAGGTTGACCAGCTTTTGTATTTTGCCTCCACTGATGCTGCTAGGGCCGAGCTCGAGGCTGCTGCGCAGTACAGCTTTGACTACGGCGGATATAGCTACGGTTCTGTGCTGGAGGGTGATGTTCCAGCTGCCGTTCCCATGCCTTCTCCTGTTCCTGCATATTCATCGTCGACATCTGTGCCAGCTGCACCGCAACTGCAGCACCAATGTGCTAATTGCTTTTCCCCAGCTTCTACTCGGTGCTCACGGTGTAAAGCTGTTCGATACTGGTATGTTGATCTTGTACGCCAGTTTTCTATAACTTCCCGTTTTTATTCACTATATGGTGTCTCCAACCTTGGGAATTGTACTTGTGCAGTTATGCTACAGATTTATTTTTTCTTAAAGGAGTGCCTTTTGTGTGTGAAATGGCCACTAAATAAGGGCAACCGAGCTTTCTCTCCTGACGCCTGGAAGACTTCGATTATTATAACGATTCCCTATCTTTCATATCTAATTTAATAGTTAAGCAGGTTACATATCTGCTTAAAAATGTTTGTATAGCACAACCTTTGAGTTTTTGAAGGTATATACGGAGTATTTTATTATGCCTTGATGTGGGTTAAAATAGATTCTTTTATAATCTCCCTCCCCGCCGCCACACCTATACAGATATTTATTTATACAAGTAAATAAGAAGGTATAAAAAGACAGGTTTATGGCTCATTGTGCATTGTGGCTGTGAGGGGAGGCATAAAAATATAACATTATAGCCACAAATTGTCAATTTAAGAAGCATTCAGATATCGATGCATAATACCATTGGAATACAGAAAATGAACAAGCCGTAAGATCTTTTTTGGTGCATCGGAAAGAACAATTCATATGATTGGTGAGTCATTAACATGAGCTGTTCCCACATGACGCATTGCGGTAACGTACACCTCCAGATTGCTTCAAATCGCACAAGAATTCCCCTAAAATGAAAATTAGGATTCTTACATTCGATGTAATCTAACCGGAGAGTAATCTCCGAGTACTTCACGAGTACTCGCTACTCGGGGTAATCCCTTGCCAAGTAGGTTACCAACTTAGTTCATTCGAAAATTTCGAGTTAATCACCAAGTACTCGGCGATTTTTGTGACTCTGTGACTTGGATTACAAGACGAGTAACTCCGGTGGCTAAAATTGAATTTTTGTAATGGTTAAATCTTAAAGTTTGATACTAAAATGGGATATGTGGGATTTAAGAATACCTATTAGTTACTTTGTTATATTAATTTAAAATATAAAACGAAAAATTTAGACTTTTGGAAGTACCAAGATTATTTCAAAGTTTATTTAAATTACACCATTCTCTCGGTGAGTTCTTCTTCCTTTGGTTCTTGCTTCTAGCTCTTCTTTGTCTTTTCAAACCTTAATTTTTATGTATTACTAGAATTTTGTAGCATATAAATTTATAATTACATATCTGAATATTCACCAAGTAACCGACCCTGATTGCAACTCGGTCCTTGACCGAGTTGGCACCTAGTAGCAGTTTTATATCTTAGCTTCTTTTAAACCTCTATGCAAACCACTGTAGCAAATTGAAAGGGGTGAAAATGTTAAAAGCCACAAGGAAATATAAATTACTTCGATAAAACAAAATTTTGAAACTTTCAAGTGTCAAGAAGAAAACCTTGCAAGGGTTCCATAAGTTTTTCATTCAATACACAGTACATGGTCTCCCTAAATAGCTAAGCTCCCTAAGGATATCTTTCAAGAGTTGTGTCTTTTAATTTTCAAATATGGACAGTAAAAAATTATTTGAACCAATAATTTAATTAATCGTTCCCATTAACCACACGTGAAGACAATGTCAATGATCTTGAAGAAGGCCTTTCCTTCAAACTGTTACCAATAGCATGAACCACGACTGAAGATCTTTCTTGACATAATCCACCCAATAGGATATTAAAAACCATCCCAAACGTTCTAAAAACAAAATAAGTTAATTTATAATACTAAAATAGAAACAGATTGTTTGCACATTGAAAAGAAGCTTTGTAGCGATTTCAGCGCACTAGGTGTGCCGGTCATTAGTTTTAAAATTCATTCCCTCACTATTAATTTTACAAACATATACGGGTCAGAGTGGTGCGTGAACATTGAAATTTGTACTGGTCTTCCACTAAGACGTGCACCGTATCCTCGTAATTAAGAACGGCCCATTACTAGACAGCATTATTTCATTATTTGCACCCTCCATGTGTTTCTTCCTTTTTAATTACAAGTTGGGACGATGCAAGCCCAATCTTGAACTAGTGTGCCGATTGGGCTCTCATAAGTCCTGTTTCCGAATTAAAAGAATCATGATGTTCTTTCCTTACACTTTTCACATTTATATACTCACATTTCCTAAAAATGGGCATTGGCATCACATTAGAAATATTTTTTTTTTCGTGTGGAGGATTGATCTCTTTTGATCTTTTTATCATTCTTATGTTCTTTATTTATCCTTTGATCCCTTTTTATATCTTATATCCTCTATCATTTTATATTATCTTTCTATCTTTATTTATGTTTATCTTTATCTTATCTTTTTTTATCTTTTAATTTTCTTATTCTTTTTGTCTTTCTTATTTTTTTGCTCTGATTTCATGTGTCGATTCTAGTTAGTTGACCCCAAACTCTTTTTGGGATTAAGGCTTGGATGTTTGTTGTTGTTGTTGTTGTTGTTGTTGTTGTCTTATTGTGGATTCATTAGCATCTTAAGAACTGTGTTCCAAAGATGTTGCTACACCTTGGTTCTTACTTCATAGTTTTGTTTAAGAACCGTTCTTCCTCTATAGAGTCACGGGCTGGCCCACCTTTATGTGTACCACGATCCTCACCTTTTCTGATTAGAGGGCCTTGTGTAGAGTTCTTAATTGCTGGCTTTGCAGCTTTCTTTTTACGGAGGCCTTTTAATGAAGCTCGGAACTGCAATGAATTTATGAGTGAGAAGAAGATACCTGATGAGAATGGAGAGGAAGAGCCGAAGAGAAGAACATATGTGTTCTCAGTTTGCGAGAAGAAACTCCTAGTGTGAATGGTGAAGAGGAGAATAACATTGAATTCTCCGAGATGTCTGAATTCCGAAGAAGGTTTTCAATCAGGCAGAAATATGTAGGGTTTTGCTTATGGGCGTTTGGGGCTTTAATGAGTGAAAATTGATGTGCCCAACGGGCGCTAAATCTGAAGATAATAATGCCAGATATGAGCCTCAAAACCGACCACATGCATAGAGCTTCAGATTCCAATAAAGCCCTAGGGTGTGCGGGGCTTCCATGCCTCAACCATCAGAGGCATAAACTTCATTGGTTAGCGTGGATGCGTAGCCTTTAGTGTGAATTTCCTCTGCTTCGGATAGAGGCAAGCTGCAAAAAAGCCTTTTTAGTAAATAATTTATATCATGATGTTTGTTTGGTTCAAAAATTCCTATACTTTGGGGTTGTACCAGTTGGTCGTTCGGAATCGTGTATATCAAGGTCTATCTGAGTAAACAGTGGGCATATAATTTTGCTACCTTTTGTGGCACTATGTTCCCAGACTACTCATTTTATACAACCAAACTACTTCATCCCTTGTTGACATTAAATGATTGCTGCCTCGGATAGGGAAGATAAAGCAAAAATTGAAACTTGGTAATGGAAACATTTCAAGATTCATATGGTCAAAATAATACGAATTGCATAGGTATTCCGTTCATTTCAAAATAACTGTGGCTTTGGATAGAATTTTGTTTCGAAGTATCTGTCATTTTTTCTTTATTTCATGAGGAATTAAATAGTTTCTTAGTTTTGCTCTTCTTTTAGTTATGTGACAGATCTCATTATTGAAAGGGTAATGTAATTAGTTTATACATATTATTGTACCTATTTAATAAGTTTCTTAATCTGTGAAAAAGTATAACTATAAAGGGCAGATATTTTGAAATGCAGGGAGTACTATACTTTTATATTTGCATATACGCTTCTTAGGTTTTCAACTACTTCTACTTTCTCTTTTGTTTGTCATCAACCGAATCATGTCCAGGTTCTGAAATATCAATTTGCGTAGCTAAATGGTGAAGCTGTGTTTGCAACTTTTGCATTGCACAGTGCACACTTTCAACCTCACTATTACTGTTGTTTCTACTATAATTTTTTTGTGGAATTTCACTGAAAAGCAACTTGAATGATTTGTTTTCATGGAAAACCTTTTAGCTAGCAACTTGCCCAATTGTGTAGTATAATCTCTTCTAATCCTTAGCACTTTTTTAATGGCCTTACCCTTTGTTTATTGTTTTTTTTTTTAATTTTCCGGCATTCTCACCCAAAGATGAATGTTTCAGTTCAGGAAAATGTCAAATAATCCACTGGAGACTTGGTCACAAAGATGAATGCCAGCCACCGTCCAACCATAATCATGGTAGTGATGGTGAGGGAACTAATCATTTCAAGGCATTTAAGAAAGAGGAAAATGAAGGTTGTGCTGGAGGAATTGAACCCGAAGAGAAAAACTCTCCCGTATCAATTGATCAATCATTTCCAGAGCATATACACTCTAAATCCAGTATCTCTATGGAATCAAACACAGCGGATGTCTTGAAAGGAAAACATCTCACAGATGACAGATCTACAAACTCAGACCCTGAGTTCTCATCTCATATGTTTTCAACTTCCACCTCTCGTGAATCATTTTCGTCCACATCCATCAGTGATTCAAATGATTCTGGTGGTATTGACAAAGCTGCTGGCATTCGTTCTTTAAACACTGAGACTTCTCAAACCACCTCAGACCATCACAGGCCACAGTTTCTGGAGCAACCCACTGTGGTCAGTTCTATAAATGCTGTTTCAACATCTAGTGAATCTCCTTGCATAAATCTGGGGCCCTATGGAAGTACAAAATCAAATTATTCAAGCTCAAGGGCATCAACTGTTGATGGTTCTAGTAAATCTTCATTATTGGTGTCCTCTGTACCGTCTTCTGACTTTTGGAAAGAAATAGCTCGCTACAGCAGATCTAAAGTCAATGCAATGGAAGACGTTGTTGGTCATCCTGATTCTGAAGATGTTATCGCCTCCAACTTTTTAGATGCTCAGTTACTCCCACTTGGTTCCTCTAAAATGGCTAGAGCTACCACTGCTCTCAGTATGAACGAACCAAATGCAGAAGTCATTGATAATGTGGACATGCGGAGGTCTTCGTCATTGAGACCCAAATCACGTAATACTATGGAGAATGACATGTTGAAAACATCATCAAGCTATAAGGAAACTAGACATTCTCTGTCTGCTGCTTCCTGTGCTTTTCCAGTGAACCATCTAATGCAGAATGATACACTGAAAGCCAATAGTGCCCCAAAAACTTCTCTGAATGTTTCACATGCCCCAAAAGCCAGACAAGTTGAACATGTTCTTGCAAAACCTCCTCAAGTTTATCTATCTTCTACTGCTAATAGGCATGATTATCAAGGCGTAAAGCCTGTAAAGATTGATAGGGCACAAGTCAATTCTTGCGTATCAGGCCCAGGAGGTGATTCACAAAGTTCAAAGATTGGCCTGAAATCATCAATTTTGAAAGTCGTTGACCCATTCAAAGTTTCAAAGTCATCACAGCATAATGCCTTAGGAGCCTGGGGTGAAACAGCAGGAAGATACAATAATAAGGTTTAGCTTCATACTTTGCTTTGTGTTTTCATTTTGTATGCATTTGATATAGTGTTGGAGGATTTTACTGATTGCATAATCTTTGACAGGGCCTATTTCCATATGAGTTGTTTGTGAAGCTTTTTAATTCAAACAATATCGAATTACGTCCATTTGGCCTCACAAATTGTGGTAACAGGTATCTAAAACTTGCCATAAATAATTAATTCTTTGTTAATGATGCTTTATTCAGAATTTATTTGAAGTATTTTTAGGTCATGAACTAGCTTGATCAGGTATCATTTATATGATCCTGTAGACTTGTAGAGCATAAATTTATTTCATGGTTTTGATACGGTATGGGTGTTTCTATCAACCATCGCTTCTTATCTGCTTATGTGCTTCACCTCAGCTGCAAGCCTACAACTCTAAATATTCCGTTTATTATTACTCAAAAGTTTGACATCTGTATTGATGATATGTGGATGTATTTGCATGCTGCTTATATTTATTCCAGATCTTCTCCCATTATGCATGATTTGCTATACACATATGTTGTCTCAATTTCAACTCATTGCCAGTGACCTGCTAGTTACTTCAATGTGTTCATATTTTAACAATCCATAACTTTCTCTTAAGAGTCAGCCTTTCATTTAGTCTATTCAAAGTAGTGACCGGTCATTTCTTATTTAATATCTTGCAGCTGTTATGCGAACGCTGTCCTTCAGTGTTTGGCATTCACTCCACCCTTTACGGCTTATTTCCTTCAAGGATTCCATTCAAAAGGATGTGAGTTTGTAAATATGGAACAACACTTCTGAGTGATTGGTTATGTAATTTCATTCTATCATCTAATCATGCGTCTCATATTCTTGTATCACTTGCTTGTTCTCCCTCATCTTTGTTAGGTGCAATTCGTGCAAAGAAAGAGTGGTGTTTCACATGTGAATTCGAATCTCTAGTTCTGAATGCGAAGGGTGGAAGTTCTCCCCTCTCCCCAAGCCGGATAATTTCCCATTTGGAGAATATCGGAAGCAGTCTTGGGAATGGGAGAGAAGAAGATGCTCATGAATTTCTCAGGTAACCTCTCACTCAGAAAATCTCCACTTTCATTTGCTTATTACCATAAGGATATGTTTGGAGCCCGGAAAGTGTTAGGAAAGGGAAAAGTAACCAAGTAAAATGATTATTTCCTTATTGGTTTTACCTTGAAAAAAGTGAAGGAAATTCAAACTTGATAAGATCTTTTGAATTTTTTACATGTATTTAGATTTCCTAAAAACTTATGTAGTAGAAATTTATAAATTAGATAGATTTCTTACATTGCACCATTTTTTATTTTCACACAGATTTTTTAATAGTTCTAACTTTCAAAAGCGTCCACTATTTCCCTTCTTATTTGTCTTTCCCTAGCTTTTTCCGGATTCTAAACGAACCCTAGCGCTATGTTTGGTTGAGAAGAGAAACTGAGAACTGAGAAAGAAGAATGAAAGTGACCGAGAAGAAATTTCTAAGAAAGGGGTAGCTTTATGTGCTGCATGGTATGCAAGAAATAGAAGGGGATGGAGGGAGAGAAATGTGTAGAAGACAAAAAGTCCGTTAGTTATGTTGCTTGTTAAGTTTATAAGAGGGTGTAAAAGGAAAATGAAAAAATGAAGCTTTCCATATTCCACTATCTTTTCATCTAAGGGGAGAAAAAACAGATGGTGGTCCTGGTCTAGTTTTTTTTTTCTATCTTCCCTATTTCTCCTCCAGGGAGAAGTTGAAAAATCCCCTGTTCTTCCCATTTTCTTTTTTACCTATTTCTTGTCTATCAAACATACCATAAATTTTTCTAACACTGGAATCAAATTTTAAATTTTAGGTATGTGATTGAGACCATGCAATCGATCTGCTTAAAGGAAGGAGGTGTCCATGCACCAAGCACTTTGGAAGAGCAGACGAGTCTCATTGGCTTTACCTTTGGGGGCTTCCTCCGTTCGAAGGTAATCAGTGCTCTTCTTGAAGCATGCTGTGATTTTGAGCTATATAACCTAGAAAGGATCCAAGTTTGAACATTTTAATGTGCCCACATTTTCAATTATGGTTATAAACCCATGCTGGTCCCATAAGAGTTTGATCGGACCCACATGGCATTATTTTCACATGTGGTAATATGGGTAAATTAACATGGATTCTGTGACCCTCCCAATAAATCAATATTGCAATTTGCAGATTGAGTGCTTGCGTTGTGGAGGCAAATCTGAGAAACATGAAAGAATGATGGACCTTACGGTGGAGATTGATGGAGATATTGCAACCCTGGAAGGAGCTTTAAAACAATTTACGCACACTGAGGTTCTAGATGGTGAAAACAAGTACCACTGTACCAGGTATTTCCGGATGTCTTCTCAATGTATCTTCTATTGCCTTATATTCATAGAGGCATACATCTTTGTGTATCTTTTCATTGTAATCACTGTTCCATTTGTCTCGAGTTATTGATACACTACTTTGATGCCTGCTTTTACTAGTTGTTTGGTAGCCACTTTTTCCTCATCACATATAACCAAATACTAATATTGTTTGGTGGCGTGCAATGAATTGTTTAATAAATGGAAAATTTAGAGCCATGCATGTGTAATCTTTGGCAGAAGGTATGAAGTTGCTGATCATTAGCCTCACAGTGAAATATGAACCAAATACTAATATTGTTTGGTGGCGTGCAATGAATTGTTTAATATATGGAAAACTTAGAGCCATGCATGTGTAATCTTTGGCAGAAGGTATGTGAAGTTGCTGATCATTAGCCTCAGTGAAATATGAGTTTTTTTTCATAAATCAGCAATTTCAGCCAGTTTCATCCTTGTGAACCTCAGTCGTTAATATGCTTCCTTAGTTACAGTTCATTTTCCATCGCAAGTTTTTTGTAACTTATGTGATTTGAGGACTTACATCATACATCTAATTAGAATTTTATATTTATCAGATGCAAATCGTACGAGAAAGCCCGGAAGAAGTTGAAAATATTAGAGGCCCCTAATGTCCTTACCATTGCATTAAAGAGATTTCAGGCAATATACTTTAGTACCATAAATGAGCTTTCCCTATTAATACTTTTCTTTGCTCTCACTGCTCAATCATTCTTTTTTCTTTCTTTTGCAGTCAGGTAAATATGGGAAGCTTAACAAAATGATTACATTTCCTGAGATTTTGAATCTGGCCTCGTACATGAGTGGTACAAGCGATAAATCACCGATTTATAGGCTTTATGGAGTTATTGTACACTTGGATGTTATGAATGCTGCCTTTTCCGGTCACTATGTATGCTATGTCAAGAATTTTCAGAATAAGTGGTTCAAAGTTGATGACAGCACGGTATGTTTTTATAATTTTATCTCATTCGAAATATCAACAATAGGCTCTCATTGGATCCTAGAAAATGCTAGGGAAGATAGAAGGATGGAAATATGGAGGAGATTTGAAAGAACACAAATCAGGGGAGAATAAAAACATAGGCTAAAACTCTATAAATTTATTTTGGATATTGGTTGATAGTGGATACCTTCATGCACCGGTTTAGGTGCTGCTGTGAGGTCACAGGCTCAAGTCTTGAGAGCGGCCTCTTGTCAAAACTTGACAGGGGGGAAGCTTGCCCCTTACACCCTCGTGGAGGGAGTCTCCTGCGGATCCTGCCCTGGAGGGATGCCTTCGTGCACTGGGCTGCCTTTTTTATTCGTTGATAGTGGATACTCTTGTTTATTCATGTCTATTATATGAAAATTAAAAAATCTTAACCTATGGAAATTTAAATAAAATTAATCATATTTCATTTTCATTAGCATTTTCCAAGGATTAACCGAACACTAGAAAACAAGTTTCCTTGGCATATTTATTTCCTTTCCTGGCATTTTCCGTAATCCGAACATACCTTTTAGTGAATTGTTTCCTCAAATTCACTTGAAACAACTATTCATGTGGTTTACTTCTCTGGCTCCTCCTATTAGGTGAAACCTGTAGAACTAGAGCGTGTCCTGTCAAAAGGAGCATACATGCTTCTGTACTCAAGGTAAGTAATTAAACTTGCCCTATGTTGAAGAAGGCTCTAATGGAGGGATGCATAGTATATAACCTGTACTTCATTTATAGGTGCTCTCCGCGGGCCCCGAGGTTGATAAGGAATTCAACAGTTTCTCATGATGCTCGGGCACAGAAGCCTTTGCCCTGTAAATCGAGTTCTCATAGAAATTCACTGGATTACTCGTCAAATGGCCAGGGATGTAAACAATGCTTGAATTCTTCGCGAACGGGACCCTGGCCGAATCAAACAGTAATGACAGAGGACTCGTCGAGCGACAACTCGTCATCGCTCTTTTCTGAAGGCGGCTCTTATAGCACTGACAGCAGCAACCGGGATTCCACTGAGGATTTTGTGGACCAGTTGTTTGGTGGCGATCCCGGCTATGGGTGGAGGAACTCTACAGATTCCGAAACGTCCTCTTCTTCGTCATCTCCTTTTTCCAGGCACTCACCCCTTGCTGACATGGACCGTTACGCTTCTTCTGGATATCCCGAGGCAAGGAGTGGGTACATAGACTCTTCAACTGATCATCAGCCGCAGGGGTTTTGGAGAGGGCCATCGTCAGAGCAGAATACAACAGCCAAACATTGTAGCAAGAGCTTAGGTGCCAGTAGAAGCAGTGGCAGTAAAATAGGATCTGATAAAGCTTATGGAAACATGAAATGTAGATGAGGTAAATGTCAACCCTACCCTAGTCAACCCTATGAGGTAAAATAGGATCTAATAATCATATATGATTATTAAGTTTTGTCTGTATTGTAGATGGCAAGTAAATAAACCCTTTATGAGCTGTAGAGTTTGGGGTTAAGAGTTTGGGCGTATTTCCTGGGGCACCCCTAGTGAGAAACGTGCCAGAGCCATGTTTTTTGTCTCCCTTCCCCCCATTTGTAATCCTAGGGTTTAACATAAATACTCCGTATATAATTTATTAATATACATGTATCCTTAACTTGAGTATGAAATGTGGGTGTTCTTCCCATTTCCAAATGTAACTGCGGGGTTTGTTTAATTTTGGGGTGTCTATTGCATTTAAGAGCATCATTTAAAACTAGAGGCGTGTACAGTTTCTTAAAATGAAGTAACCGGAACTGATAGCCCTGAGCCCTGAGAGTCGGTGCAGCTGCATGACCCGAATGAGATTTGCAAAAAAATAGGCCAAATTCAGTCCCTAATTAAGCGAGGTGTCCCCGATATGGATTTTGGAGGATTTAATGGAGATTAGAATTCCGTTAGAATTTAGGTGTCCCTGATAAATAAGGATGTTCTCAAACATTTCGTGAATTTCTATTACGTAGTATTACTCAATGTTCTAAAAGGTGCTAGGCGGTAGTCAGGCGTCAGCTCAGCGGCTAGGCGGGTGCTTAATCGGGGACTAGTCGGAGACAAAGAAATCACATTTTTGTCTATATTTTCGCATAAATATGATGAGTAATATTGTATTTTTGTGTATAAATTATACATATATAATAACAAACATGAATGATAGAATTACCACATTTAATCATATGTACTATACGATAACTAATCACTTAACTTCATTATGTTATAAATATAAATAATGATGAAATTTAGGTATATATAGAAACATACTCCGGGTATATAGTTTTATTTTAATTTACAACTTCATTTCTTTTTATCCATGGCTAAAGTTAAAGTACGTATATCGCTTAGAAAACTAAAACTAAAAAGTAAAGTAATGTTTGGTGAATCTCGACGGCCTAGGCGGCTGATTAGGCGCTCTAGGCAGGCAACTAGGCGGCATAGGTGGTCGACTAATTCACCTAGACTGTTAACCAATTAGTCGGAGCGCCTAGACGAAAATCGGGGCGCCCGACTACCACCTAGTGCCTAGGCGGAGACTAGTCTGACGCCTAGAACAATTTTTAGAACAGAGATATTACTTATTGGGTTGGATGAGAGTATAACTTTAGAGAGAGCAAAGTGGCGGGCAGGTATTCGTGTGGATGAGTAATTTCTTATTATCTTTTCCTCTCATCTTTTTTTCTTCTTGTTTTTTTGTATCCTTTTATCCTTATACGTAGTATATATTAACTTTATTTTTATCTTTTCTATTTTATCATTTTTAGGTATATTTATCTCTTTTTGTACTATTTTTTTATAATAGCTTATCTTTTTTATATTTATTTTCTTTCTTTTCCTTTTGATGGTGATTTCATGTATGGATTCATGTTAGCCGACCCCAATATCTTTTGGGACTAAGGCTTGGATGTTGTTGTAGTATTACTTATTGGGAAAAATAAATAAAATACACTAAACTTTTCCTACGTGTGAGTTCCCTACCTTATACTTGTTGCACCTCCAATTATTTGAATTTGTAATACCCATATCCTATCTTTTAGTAACAAGTAATATTTCTGAATTTAATGTTTATTGACACAATCAGGTACTCCCTTCGTCCTTTCGTCCCATTTTATCTCTCCTACTTCCCCTTTTGGTTTGTCTCAAAATAAGTGTCTCATTTTCTCTTTTGAAAAGAAATATGTTGCCTACAACATTTCACTTGTTATACTTAAATCTCAATCACAACTTTAACTTTTTCAACCATTTTTTTAATAATTGTGCCAAGTCAAAGTGAGACACATAAAATTGAACTGAGGTAGTATTATATATTCAAATAGAAAACAAGAAGGCCACTGAAAAATTATGCCAACTCAAATGTCCTTTGGATCTTTAGAAATAATAAGATTACATGCATCTAAAATTTAAGAGTTAATGCTTTGTGTACACACCGTATTACTCATTTGCTTAGACACCCAAGTGTAATTGTCTGCGATCCTGAATTGTCTGTACACATATAATTACACTTGGGTGTGTGAGCTAGGGGTGGACCGGTTCCGGGCCGGGCCCGGTTCGGGCCTTGAACCGGCCGGGCCTCGGTTCAAGGTAGGGGAGGCCCGGAACCGGCCCGGGTTACCCCGGTTCGAGCCGGGCCGGGTCAGGCCCGGTTCGGTTCTATATAATTTTTTTTTGGGTTTTCCTAATCAACCCCCCCCCATCCCCAAACCACCTCAAATGGCCCAAAATACCCAATCCAACCCAAAAATTTAAAAAAAAATTCAAAAAAAAAAAAAAAATTAAATTCGGCCCGGAGCGGGCCCGGACCGGCCGGGCCGGTTCACCAAAATGAAGGCCCGAGCCCGGAACCGGTAGCCACCGGGCCGGGTCGACCCAAACCGCCCATGGGCCGGGCCGCCGGGCCGGTTCAAACAGTGACCGGGCCGGTCCGGTTCCGGTTCGGGCCGCCCGGCCCGAGTCCAACCCCAGTGTGAGTCAGTGTGTAACTCGGTATGTCCGTACACGAAGCAAAACTTCAAATTAAAATAGATGGAGGTATATTTTTAAACAAAACAAGTATGGGGTGATAAACTCACACCTGGGGAAAGTTCATGGTATTTTATTTACTTTTCCCTTACTTATTTGGATGGATTTTGGTGGTACCCCTCGGATTTCAAGAATGAAGTAATTCAGACATAAGTGCCTATTTATACTAACAGATGAGATTTGGGCCAAACAGGCCTAATACACACGCACACGGTTGTGCACGCAGTGTCTTTCCTTCGTCGTGATGCGCACAAAGGTCGTGCGCACGCCTTGCGCGGTGTCGTGAACGCGCCGTCTCTGCAAATGTTCTATGGTGACACGGTGGTAAGCACGCAGTGCGGATCGGCCGTGCGTACACACCTGAGCCATGAAAATCAAAGTCAATAAATTTTCAATTTCACTATTTCAAGCTTTCGGCAGGTAATACATTACGTGAATACCACTTTTACCAAACGGTCCAATTTCCGCAACTCAATACTAATTTGTTTAGGAAAACTGTCGAATAAACTCTCAAATAGCACATGATAGAAGTAATTAGGAAGCTAAACCCAAAAACACCGATGTGCCAGTTTCGCTTACTTGGTGATACACTAGTGAAATATAACACCATCTTCTTCCTCCAATCCGTCCACCGATAAAGTTCAGAATTCTTTGCTCTAGTTTGAGATTCTTTTTAGTTGACCAGTGCTCTGGTTTTTTAGTGTTTCAACTGCTTCTTCTCTATGCCCGTATGGAAGAGTATAATGCGCCAATTGGAGGTCAGCAAAAGTGGTTCTTGATAGAAGTAGAAGTTTTCATGACTTCCACAAGTATTCATTTTCAGAAACGCCACAACGAAGTCAATTAAGAATTTAACAACACCAGCATGAGAACACCATGACTTTGCCTTCATCTGCTTCATTAAATCTTCAAGCAAACCTTGGGGGTACCATTATTCAGTGGCGTATCCAGAATAATATGTCAGCGGGGGCGAATTTATCTTAGATTAAGAGAGAGAAAATTACAAGATAAATCAGACTAATCAAATTAAGAAAAAAATGTAAAACTAATTATAAAAAACAAAATATTCTCTCATAAAAAACATTACGATATTATGTTTAATTAAATTTCACTTTGTTAGAAATAATTTTATCACATTGAATATGTAATTTGTGCAAAATTATGTCAATATATAAATGAATCAACTAGGGAAGGAGGAACATCTAGTTAGAATTAATTTTTATTTAAAATTCACAAGTATAATAAAATACTAGTTTTATTATGTATAAAATTAGTTCATATGTGAAACTAGAATTGTAACTATATTGATGTAGTTTAGATCTTTTCAACAAGAAAAAAGTAAAAAAAGAACAATGTATAGCCACTTAGAATTTGCTTAAGGCTTCAAGGACAAAAAAAATAAAACAAAAAAAGAAAAAGAAAATATGCAGGTAGGAATCGAACTCCAAACCTCAGCTCAAATGAACATCTTATATTCTTATGGCTCCTACTCTTTCCGCTCGACCCCTAGCAAGTTTGATAAAAATATTCGTTTTAATTGTATAAGAAACATTATGTAGAACAAAAAATATATGTATAAATTTAAATTGGATATATATATATAATAGGGTTGGGTGGGGTTGAGTGGGGGCAGCTGCCCCCCTGCCCCCACCCTGGATACGCCCCTGCCATTATTGGAATAAACGCTTGTCATGAATTTCAATGCTCCCCATGACATTGACAACTTCAAATAAATAATACTACGTATGGTCTTAATTGTTTTCATATCTTAAGAGAAAACAGGCCGGATTTCGTCTAATACACAAAAAACATGCATTTCTTTTCGTATGTATGTGATGATTCTCTTCTTTTGCATCAAGGTATCACCTATTCCCTTCCGCGTTCTCTCCCTTTAGAATGCATTTAATTAATAAATAAAACTATAGTGTATTTGTGAAGGAGATTTTTGGTAATGCTGTGAGCTAACTTGATTCGAAGTAATAAAAGGCTTAGATAAATGGAAGCAAGAGACATGGTCACCATCTTTTGTTTTTGTCTCTTTATTTAACCTTTTTCACCAGAAGGTGATATGTAAGTGTTTTCTTAACTGGATAAATATAGGTACAACATATGATCTAATATGTTATGAGGATCCATAAAAACGAAAAGATCAACACCACACGCATTAACGGGAAGAGAAAAGACTATGTGGGCGCGAAAATAGTTAATATAAGGAACTTCGCAACTGGCTTTGAAGTTTGAACGTTCTTTGGGCTTCCTTGGGAGTTGGTATGGGGTGTTTCTGCAATTCTGCTTTTCCTTCTATTTGAAACTTCCAAATTTCCAATGTATCCATTTTTTTTGTTACAAGTTACAACCAATGTATCCATTTAATCCCCCTTATCATTTTTTCATTTTTTTTGGAAAAAAGGTCAAATAAGCTTATAGTATTTTCAAATCCGTCACTTATGTCCTTGTACTAAAAAAAGTACTCCGTATCACGTATGTTTACTTTTAAAATTAAATCAATCAAGCCATTTGACCTGCTATAGTAGGTCATTCTAAAAAAATTAAAATAAAAAATAAAAAAAGCAGATAACTGAAAAAAATAAAGTGAAAATAAAAAATAAAAAATGTAAAAAACTTTTTAAATTGATGTAGAATATAAAAATATTTTTAAACATTAAAAAATATTAACTTTGATATTTAAAATCTG